GACACCCTATTCTCACCAATGTTTTTTTCTGAGAAAGATGGTTTAGGTTTACCATGTTTATCATCGAAAACGAAGAGGTCCATGGAAATCAATGTCAGTTGCAAAAACAGCAGCACGGGTAAAGAATGCAGACGAGGTGAGTGCCCGCTTGCATCTTTTCTGGATTGCTGCGACATTTCTAGTGTCCTGATTAAATTTGTAATTGCTCGAGTTCTTTTAAGATTATTGTTCTTGCTGTGAACGCTTACGGGTCTGGCTCTGCTAATCGAATCGCATTCGAGGATAACGAGTGGATCGGGAACTATGACTGACCCGTATTCTTGATACTGGTAAGCCGTCATCTTGATTTACTATCATTTTGAGGACAATGAATGCTCCGAATTTAATCCTCGACGTTTTTGCCATGTAAACTTTCTCAGCTGGAAAATCTTATAACATCCACTGATTACACATTGCAGGCTTATTTTTCTACAATTGATGTGCGAGCAAATGAACAGCAGGGATTTCGTTCTTTCTAGCACACTTCGCTTATGGCTATGCGTAGGTTAGAGAATATACAGAGTGTCTCAAAATGTGTTCAGCTTACTGAAAAACTCCATAATTACAAAACTACTCTTGATTTCATGAGCGTCATATTCTTAATCAGAAACCAAACTCCACAAAATGTATACAAGAACGTTCTGACATTTTTACGTCTTGTGTGCTTATATGGACATCTGGCACCACATCAAACTGATCATAGTGACGATCATTGTAGTATCCCGTAGGGACCTGATCATCAGTGTAATTTTCCAAAACATAACCGGTGATTATATGATGCTCCTATTCAGCGTGACAGATAAACCTCTTTCGTTGATTCTAATCAATTTAATATTGATTCAAGCCCAGTTTATGCCTAGTAAAATCATAGTATTACAAAGTAATTTAGATACTCATCCTCAACTTTATCTATATTCCGAAATTTCTTGAACAAATAGTGGAGTTTTCATCAAATAGATAACTGCATCTTTTTGAGATACTCTGTATCAGATGATAGTC